CTGACGTCAGAGCGAGAACGCCATTCCAGAGTGGAAGCCAATTTTCAGTTTTTGATTAAAGATTATGACGGCAGACAATTTTTTTTCCAGTGTGTTGACTTGAATGGTTCAATTGTTTACCACAAGACTAGTAATGTGCACTAAAAAGTAAGTAGGGTCATTTTTATTTCATGCCGACTAATCATTTTCAATAAAATTGGCAAAACTAACACATACTGTATACTGCCATATATTGGCAGTATAATAATATAATTTTAATATTTAAAAAAAAAAATTGTACATCCATTTTTTCAAGGCAATCATTATTTCAAGCTTTGAAATTGGTTTAATCCAAGTCTTCTAAAAAGACACATTCGCTTTATATGAACAGATTTTAATATAGGCTTTTATTTACATACATATAAAAATTGATCAATTACCATAACAAAAATCTCAATCTTAAACATTTACTCATTCTGTGTATTTGTGTCTTTAAAATAGGGTAACTTTGTTGCAAAAGCTTACAGCACAAGGAAGCTTGATTTCAAATTTGATTTCAAACTGAATTGAATTTCAAAAAAAGACAAGTACATATTCAGTAATAAAATTATAAAACAAATGACCTCAATTCTGTTGAGGTATCCGAAACATGACAAGACTGATTTTTTATAAGCAGTGATTTAAGAGCCATATATGTTAGGCCTATTTATTTAGATAAATGGAATATCAGATAGCTTTGACCCTAATGTCTGTACAATGTAGTGATGCAGTTAGGCAGACTAGGATATTTATATGTACAAATCAAATCAAAAGACAAATATCCCATTCCAAAACATTTCTAGCATAAACTTACATTGTAAAGAAATTAAAGTTCCATCTTTGATTGTTGAAAGACTTTGTGGTGCATTTCACTTACAGCCAATAAAATTTCCAGTAGGATTTTCATCGGTCAGGCGTGGATCTATTCTGAATGGTTGATAACTTTTGACAAAGTTTAATCCAGGAGCAAAGATAAATAATTTCTACTTTAAAAGCACGGAGAGATCGCGATTGCACAGTCTGAGTGCGCACAAGCAATTTCGGAGTGAGAGGACAGGCAGTTCATTTGTATTAGTTAGGCCTATTTGAGAGCTCGCGTTCAGTTTTCTGCGATTACATGACTGTTCTCATGTTACAATAAAGCGCTCAGCCACATCTGCGCGGGAATGATTAAAGTTATGTGGAATACCTGCAATCCCGCGTGGATATTCAGACTCCGCCTCCTGTAAATGTAACTTACAGGAGGCGGATGTGTGTCAAACTCGCTGTCGGAGAGGAAAGAGAGGTTCAGATATCAGGGGTTTTATTGGTCCGTTTACGGTCAGATATCTTTATTGGCTACTTTAGTGCCGTCAAAGGTTTGAATATCAATTCAAATTGTGGGCGTACTCAGTAACGAACTATGATTTAAAAGTAACGAAGTAGATTATTTTGCTTAATTTGTATTTAAGTACAAGTAAAAGTACAGCTTTAAAAATATACTCAAAAAAGTACAAGTACCTGAAAAAACTACTTAATTACAGTAACGTGAGTAGTTGTAATTCGTTACCTCCACCACTGAGAATAAGGCACGCAACATATTTCATAGTATTCCAAGCAGTGATAAAGGCATTGTATTATAAATATACTTTATTTTAATTAAAATTATAATAATAATAACTCAGATAAACCATATATTGTCAAAATTGTGGTGCACCTCCTCTCCACCTCTTGCTCATAGCAGATTCACGGTTGGATAGGAGTGGTTTAGAATATCTGTTTGTTATGTCTGACATCACACTTCACCACTTGTTCTGGGTCCTAAAGCTCTGCCAGACGCCACAAAACAACAACAAATTGTGCTAATATACACCCACAATGTCATGTAATACTGAAAAAATTATACGAGAGCGACCTCTGGCCTTTGGATGGAGATTTACTGCTGATCACAGAACCGTGCTTCACTGAAAGATACGCATGACAATCGCAGCTTCTGTTGAATTGCTATTTCGATTCCATTTCGATTTATCATGCAGCCCTAGATGCAATTGTTGGAAATACAGACATCATACAAGAACAAAGTTTCTGAATGTGCTTACTGATGTCTTGTTGTGTAGCATAAAAGCAACATTCCACTTTTTTTCCAGATGAAACTGACATAAGCAATTACCTCAACAGCTCCCTGACTAAAATGAGCGTTTAAAGACGCTGGTAATCTCTCTCACACTGTGCTCTGTAAATGCAGCCATTTCATCTAACATTTCCCTTTAACTGCATTTCCACTTCTGCAGTTATCCAGCTCAGCAGCAGTCCCATCCATTACTGGCTTGTGATGATGGGTAATATCAGAGCCGTATACACATCTGATGCTTGGATGTTGAGTGGATCTCGGTGATTCTGGTCAGTTAAATCACATTAACACTGGCACAGGGTCTAATAAAGCTCACAGCTGGTCTGTAAGTAAGCAGTTACTTAAGTCTCAGTACTCCTCTTTTTGGTTCTATAAGTCTCTCCTCTCACGTTTCACGTCTCTTTCTGCAGATTCTGGGAGATCAGCAGCGATGAGTCATGGGCGTCTGTCACTTGGCAGAGCGGGGCTGGAGGACATGATGACGCTAAAGCGGAGTGCACGTCTACCGAACCACAGACTCTTCCTCAGGCAAAGCTCTGACATTTCTAACCGGAGCTTTTCAAACCATGACATCTACCTCACCTCATCAATATGCACAGGTCTAACCACCATTTCACATCACATCTGGGTTGTTTAAGACCAGAAATTAGCGATGGCCCAAACCGATCTCAAGGATGACATGATTTTTCCTCACAAAAATACTTTCTATTAATCATCGTTAATAATCATTATTACAAAATCAAGAGCAGTAATCAACAATTTTGTCATGATACTGCAGATTCACCCTCGAATGAGTTCCTGTTTCTTTCATTTATAAGCTAATTGCATTATGCTATTTTTTTTTTTTTTTTTGCAAATAAATACACCTGAGCAGCATTAAACAGTCTGTGTAAATACAAAGGTAAAAAATGCCCCTGGAAATCAATATTGCCTCTTAACGGAAAAGTGGTGTTTGGTCAATGCATTGCGACAATAGTGTACACTACATTTTATGTGATGTATTGCTAATACATAAACTGAAAAGTACATTTTATGAATTATATAATACAAACCATTAAATTAAATGTTATTTAAATTTATTTTATTTTAATTATAAAAAAATCTATTAGTAAATGTTATTCATTATAATAATGACTATTTAAATGCATTAAAAGTTAGCGAGAAACCGTTATGTTGTCTCAGAAGTCTGTCTGAAATTACTTCCTGGAGGAACCGTGAACAAACGCTGCAGGTTAAGTCATTGTCTGATGAGGGAGCGAGTCAAAGAGCTTTTGTACAGAACGATCGTCGAGTCGTCTGAGGAGAGGTGAGCAATTCACGGTATTTTGCATATTTACATAAACATGAAACACATTTTACATAGTTTGTTCATTAAGGTTGTTTCTGCCTTGTTTTCATCCAGTCAGGCCCGGCTCCAGAATCAAATCACTGATGGTGCTTCTTAAATTAGTGAGGGTGCTGTAACTATATATATATATATATATATATATAATTATAATATAATAATTATTTCTTTTGTTTATTTATATAAATAAATTGAAATCAAGATATAAAGAAGTCAAAAATGCAATGTTATTGTGTGTGTGTCTACAATACATACTTGGTTAATACAAAGTTAATTCAAAGAAATTATCAGCAAATAAATGAAAAAAATAAATAAAAATAAAAAAACTAATTTGAGAGATTACTTTGGAACTATGTAATCTCAATTGAATATGCCATTGAATTTACATATTGTACAAGAATTTATATAATATATATATTTTGCCAAGATTTACTTCAAATAACTATTTAATACATTTTACAAATAAATATAACACACAGATATAAAGAAATAAATACATCAAATTATAGTATTATAGATATATCTTATGTATAGATACAGGTGCATCTCAATAAATTAGAATGTTGTGGAAAAGTTAATTTATTTCAGTAATTCAACTCAAATTGTGAAACTCGTGTATTAAATAAATTCAATGCATACAGACTGAAGTAGTTTAAGACTTTGGTTCTTTTAATTGTGATGATTTTGGCTCACATTTAAC